GGAGAAACAGTTATTTGCAAGCAAAACGCGTTTTGCTATCCGACAGAGTTAACGGAATCATTTCCTTTGCGGCAGTCAGTTTATTAAAAGCGCGTCCGCACACGATGCGAACACAGGAAAAAAACACAGAAAATGGCGAATAAGCAAAAACAATGCGCGACACGATCAAACACAAGCACTAAGAAAACCCAGCAGACAATAACAGCAAAAAACTACAATAACAACACAAGCAACAAGAACAACAACAATTGCTGCTATGTCGGCCAATTTGATACACATCCGCAAAAAGAAAATAAGAACAACAACAAAAAAAGTATTACAAGAACACAGCGCGCACACACAAATAGAAACAACGAAAACGTAATACGCTTCAATGCTGTATCACTGCAGTAGGGCGGCGAAAGCGAGCAGATGAGAGCTCAGCTTAAGAGCGAGAGCTCAAAAGAGGCGATAAAATAATGGTGAAATTACAAATGCTTACAGATTTCACCACGATCCTAGCGAACAATATATACCGAAGCGAACATATCTGTATACGCATCTCTTTTCAGCACGGATAACACACAAGTGTGACAACGACAGCTAGTCGATGATGATGACATGACGAAAGCTAGGCTGTCATAGTGAAGCGCATGGATATGGAACGACAAAAGGAATAGTGCAAGAGTATCGCGATAATGAGGTGTTAATGCAAACTGACAGAGCAAGGCAAATCGTAAACCGATGCGCGTGAAATGATGACAAAGGCAAGGCAACTAGACGAAAACAAAGATTGTGCGAAGTTAACATCAAAAGCCAAGCAACAAAAGTGAGATATTATGAATAAAACCAAAGGAAGTAGTGATTAAAATGATGAGCGAATTTAGCAAAGCCAAGTGGCAAATATATGAGAGAGCGAACGAGACACCAAATGCAGTGGTGTACAACTTAAGCATACAATCATTTGAAATGGGCAGTAGAAGAGCATAAGCTACCCTGCACTTTTATTATTTTTGCAACATACTGTGAAAAATATAAAATATTCTTATTATCAAATAATATTCAATTCAACATTTTATTTTTATAATATTCATAAAATAAATAAGACAATTTAATCAAATTCCAGTTGACCCAAAACTATTTAAAGCCTTTGTGTACGCCCAAGTAAAACCCATAATACTCGTATTATAGTGTATAAAAATGCAAGGATATAACGTGGGCTTAGCCGAAAGCAAGAAGAGCAAAAAAATAAAAACAATATAAAACTGACGTCCCACATAAGCGTTCAAAATATTCCATTAATTTGATTAGACTTTCGGGCAGGACGAGTCGTTTGAGGGTTAAGCCCTCTATAGCCACTGCCGCAAGCGTTGCGAATCGCATGCAAAAAGGCAGCCAAGAAAATCGGGCAGGCAGCCGGAAAGAACGCGTTGGGTGTGGACGGGGCGGAGGGTACAGGAAAGTGAGCATATGGCAACATTAAGACTGCATGTTGTTGGACACACCTCAAAATGTAGGCTCGTGGCTTTATGAAGTGCCGTTATTAACTATGGGCCACGGTTGAGAGGGCAAGGGCGAGAGCAAGGCCAACGGCTGCTTGTTCGCATTATGCGTCATAAGAATTTAACGCACAAATGCTCAAATTGTCAATAAGAAAGTTGGCAAGGCCCCACCTACCTCCCCTTCCCCCCTCTTCCCACATATACGTAACTTATTTACTTTTTATACCTCAGCGGCGCGCACACATTAAATGTCCAGCGCTTCTTCATTAGGCCATGGCAACAGAGAGACAAAGAGACAGAGAGAGCTTTGGTACCGTTAGCTGGCAAGCTAAAACTGAAACAGTTTTCCGGCCAGGCAATCATTTTTTATGGAGGCACTTGCCGGTGTGGGTGGTTGGTTCGCTGGTGGCGTGTGGGCGCGCGCGTAGCGCATCAAAAACCCATTTGGCCGCCATTAACTTGATTGAGTCGAGCTGCTGCTGCTGTTGCCACGAGATGTTGCCACACTGCGTTTTCGTTGTTGTTTTTTTAGGCAGCATTTAAGTTGAAGTCGGCACATAAATGAAAATTGATCATGTGCTTTGTCTTTTCTGCTTGACCTACCCCCCAAATCCCCCTCCCTTCGCCGACAGCTCTTCGCCCGCGCTGCATGTTAACAACTAATATTTCAGCTTTTTAGCTTTCTTTTCTTAGAGGTGCGCGCTGACTGGGCCCAGAGCTCGTGGCCATTAGTTGTCATTAAGGCGCTTTGGCCTAATTAAACTTTTGCTAAAAATACCCTTACGCCAATCACTCATTAAACTTATCTCCTTCAGCATTTGTCATCAGACCCAAGCCAACCACAGCCCTTTCATCCAATTAAATGCATTGCTTTACGCCTCAGTTTGGGAGTTGTCCTACGCTTGAAGTTGACCCAGTTCGGAGACAAGGCAGGTGCTTGGAATTGACTGCCCATCAAGGCTGGGGCTTAAATCGTATTTCCAGTGCTGTTTAACGCCGTAATTACTTCACAAGTTTTCATAAATCAATGAGTTTGCTCTGCACAGAAACTTAAAGCTTTTCCCAGACACACTTTAAGCTGGTAACAAACAGTTTTACGTTTTACTGCAGGTAGATTTTAAGCTTCTTTGCAGAAAACGTCAATTGTTGGTAGGTGAAAGAGAAATATATAAAAAAAACTGTTACTAAGTCTTTATGAAAGTTTGGTGTTATCTTTTTTAATTTTGATTTTATTTTTAATATATAAAAAGTCATTTTCATTAAATGTTTTATTTATATAAAAATGTATATAATTTTTACAAAATATTTTATTTATAAAAATATTATATAAACATTTTTGATAAATAAAATATTTTATAAAAATTATATACATTTTTTAAAAAAATGTATATTCATAATAAAAATATTTATATAATATTTATTATATATTTTTTATTTATTATATAATTATAAAGATATAGAAAAAAATATATAAAGAAATATTAATATAAAGATATATAGATATAAAGCTATATTTTTAGACTTTTCCTTAACTTTAAACTGGTTCGTATAAACTTGGCAAACTAATATAATTTAAAATGCAACTGCAACAGCAAAATCTGTCTTTTCTTTGAGTAAGAGCAATTAAAAAAAAGAGATAAAATATATTTCAAACATTTTCTCTGCTAGCATATGTACATAAGAAAATCAAAGTTGCCAAGCAGCCATTTGAGCAGCAATTTGTTGCATATTTTTACTTAAAGGCCGAATTAAAGCTGTTGATGATGCTTTTTATCAAATGACTGCTGAGGCATATCAAATGGGTTTTACCGAGGAACTGTTGCATAACAATTCGATTTCACAACCGAGAAGAAATGCGCTTAGTGCTGGGGCATCATTGAGTCACGTGTCAAAATAATCATTCGCATAGCCTTTAACTCTACGGATTCAAAGGCCTCAACGGTAGGTGGCTCAACTATGCATAGCCAGACAGTTGCCATGGCACACAGCAGCGTGTGTGTGAGTGCCAGTATGTGTGTAGGTACAAAATAAATAAATGTGATTTGTCATTTTCCAAACATATAGCAGCAGCAGCAACAGCAGCAACAATTCAAGAAGCTGCTTTTGAGAGCGCATTAAATTGCAGTCAAATGGCACACACAGTGCATGCCAAATGTACACGCATACACACACACACAGACATGTATTTATATATATATATACATATATTTGGCCAATGAATATGCTTCCTTTTGGCTTTGGCCTTGCCTGGCAACTAGTAAAAAAGTTGAAACTCGTTTGTTGCTCGGCATGTAGAGTATTAAATTATTCGAGCGTGCGGGCAACGCAAGCAACAGACTCCACACGAAAATACTTTTGTATGCAACACTGCGCACACAAAACCAAATCCAAACTTAACTTCGCCTTGGCCCGTAGCTCCTGCCGCTGCCAGAGCGTCATGAACATCTGTGAGCCTGGCAACTGTCAGGCGACTTTTAGCAGCAGCAGCAGCAGCAGCAAGGAAGCTGCTCGAAGACTGCAACAAAGTGTGGCAACATCAGCATCAGCGCTCATTTGCAGCAAATCAACTTCAAGAGTCAATGTTAAGCGCCATGTAAAATTCATTCGACTGAGCACATGGCTAAAACGCCAAAAGGCAGGCCAAGACGCCAAGTGCACAGAGCGCGACGTTTCCAAGTGCTAAAGAATAGCAAATACTCTGAATAAATTAATTTAAAATATAAATTTAAAAAATATAAATATAGTATTTAAAATATTATATAGTACCAATATAGACAAAACAAGTTAAATATATGAAAGAAAAATTTATTTCTATAAAAAAAATTAAATATTCTAGATATTCTAGATTCATATAAAATTGCAATCCCAATTTCGATGCCGATATTTTTTATTAAAACAAATACTTTAAAATTTAAATTCTCTATGGCAAATTTATTTATTTTTTTAAATATTTCTTTTACTTCATTTTAAACTCAATGACTTTTAAATTAATCAAAAAAAAATTACTATAAAAATTTTCGACAGAATTCATTTGAAATTTTGTTTCTCATTTATTTCTAATATTAATTTATTATATTTTAACTTACTTTTATCCAGATAAAACCTTTCATATATAGCACATACCAGCGAAACCTCTAGCAAGTGGGATTAGCTGAGCTTAAGAACGTCTGACCACTATAAACTCTGTTCAATAATCTGCCAACTATCCAGACCTGCGTTACATATGCGATGGCAAACTCAAGCTACCTTTTGCAGCAGCACATCAAAGGCAGAAAATAAGAAAAAGAAAATATTAGCTACAGAGACAGAGACAGAGAAAGAGAGCTAGAGAAATACGTGCAAAGGTTCGAGTGGCCGTCAGCTGGCGTTGACATGTGGCGTTGGGGCTCGGGTTCAACGAGCCCAGCTGTTGACCTTTATACAGGTTACGAACCGTACCTGCCAGACCCACCAGTCGGCATATATATATATATATAATCGACAGCTCAAGATGCATGTCAATTATGTCTGCCTGTTGACTGAATCCGAATGCTTTGATTTTCATAAAATTCGACTTGGACATGTTCACAATTATATACAAAGTTACAAAATCAGATTAAAAGTTAGCAATAGGAGGATGAGTTCGCAGAAGGAGATCCAATCAATATCAGGCATAAGCCAACTTCTCCGTTGGCTTGCAGGACGCGTAATATTCACTGGGCTTCATGATGGTGAGCGAGCAGTTCAATTCCTTATTGACTCGGAGCACAGCGCCCGAATTGTTCATTTGGCCGCAATAGTTGGGCGCCGAGAATATGGTTATCAGATTGCGATGTCCAAAGAACTGATAACCATCCTCGACCACCTCGTGGGCGCGACAGATCAGATCGAAATCGTAACGACTGAGAAACTCCCGAACAATCACCTCCGAATAGGTAACGCTAACGCCACGGTCATTGATGCCCCAGCCGTCGCCACTATGATTCAGATCGGCCCAGAGCAAATCGCACAGCAATCCGGAGCCGGGCACATCCGTTGGCCGCGGCAAGTCGCGTATCCGCTGCATGCTATCCAAATAGGGCGACAAGCCGCCGTGGCAGCAAAAGATGCGATTGTCAATGACAGCGGCAACGGGCAGATTATTGAAGCAATCCACAAAGCAGTGCCACAGCTTGATGCTATAGCGACGCTTCATCTCATCAAAGAATCCTGTGGATTACACATGTATAGATAGATGGATATAGATATATGCCTATGATACGTCGTCTCACCATAGATCTTATTGATGCTCGCGCACTCGTGATTGCCGCGTAGCAGATGCATTTGGTTCGGATAGCGCAGCTTGTAGGCAAATAGCAGGCTAATCGTCTCCAGCGACTTTTTACCCCGATCCACATAGTCGCCGAGGAATAGATAGTTGTGTTTTGACGGCCAGCCACATGCCTCGAATATGCGCAACAGATCCTCGAACTGTCCATGCACATCGCCGCAAACGTTGATCGGTGCACTCAGCTCCAAGAGCATTGGATACTTGTCGAACTCCTCACGCACCTGTTGGCACAGTGCGCCAATTACGTCCGCCTCCAGATGGCAATAGCCGCCCTTGAGGCTGCACAAATGAGCTATTATGCCATCGATCTCCATCCCGCTTAAGGCCATTTCTACGCCAGAGAATTTTGCCTAAAATTTATATCTACAGACATGTAAATGTAAATATAAATCAATATATATAAATATATACATATATATTCATGTAGAAAAATAAAAAATGTGTTATGAAGTTTTTGAGTTGTCAGACACGTGCTAATTTATAAGGATTTAACGAACAAATACATGCCTACACATACGTGTGTGTGTGTGTGTGTATGTGTGTTAAAGGGCTTAACCATAATTGGCAATTCATTTATGCTGAAGGTTCCGCATAGCCAACCTTAACCAAAAAAACCTCAAACACATACCTACAGCAAGGTGTAGAGATGTCAGCGTGAGGCTGAGTGTATACGATGAAATTACATCATGCCACGAAATAGAGGAAAACAACTCAGATTCAATTAGATGAAACTTTATCATGCATAAAGAAAAAGTTCTCTGGATAATGGATAATAGATAGATTGCATATAATACAGAGCGGATAATGCATAAATAATAATGGATAATAAATATGTAGAAAATTTATATTTTGATAAATTTTTATTTTTTTATTTAATATGTAATACTCAAGAATAATGAATAAAAGATCATGGATAAATATTAAAAGGTAATGGATAACGGATAATGCTCCTAATAATATATAAGGAATGCTAGACAATTAACCATGGTTAGTAAAATTGGAGAATGGATAGAGAATAATGGATAATCATTGAATAAATAATGGATTATCCACATAACAAATAATGATTAATGGATATCTTGAAAATGATAATAATCAAAATAATCAGATAATTTCTTTGTGCTATAATTTAACTATATTCAAGATTTGAGATTCAAGAATAAGGAATAATTATGTATTACACTCGATGCTGAATACTGCATAATAGATAATAGATACTGGATAATTCAAATAATTAATAATGGCTAATGGATATATAGAAAATTAATATTGTAATCCATTTTTCACAATTTTTCTCACTCTATTCAATATTGGAGATTCATGAATAATGAATAATATGTAATTACTATTCGCTAATTTATAGCAGATAATGGATAATGGATAAAAGATAAGGCATATAATAAATAAAAAATAAGGAATATTTGAAATATTAATTTTGTTATCAAATTTTCAAATATTTTCTAAATATATTTAAGTAGCAAGATGATTTACATTATAAATCTTAATCATATGCATATATATAGATATATATAGAACTAAGCTTAAATATATTATCATTACATCATAGGATAAGAGATCATCAAAGCTGTTGATAGAAATTTGATGTAATTTGTTGCTTTTAAATTTCTCTAATAAATTGCTACAAATGCGTAAGAAGCAAACACGACACATGACCAACTCTAATCAACACAAACACAAGCGCAGACGCCCTTCAAACACACACACAGACCCACTCGCACACCTACACACTCAGGCAGCGACCTTGCGCCGTCCGTTGGACAAGTTAAAGGAGAAGCGTTAAAGTGCAAAAGATTTATGAAATTTATTTATGTGCCTGTAAAAATGCCAACGGCAAGTGCTGGGCGCTATGAAAGAGCGGACATAGGCGTGTTTTAAGTGGGCTGGCTGGGCAGTGGGCGTTCCTCAAAGGGGGAGTGTCATGTATTTGGGCCAGGCCAACATCACATTCCCATCAACTCAATGCGGACAACTCGAAGCGGGTGCCATCACAATGTTGTTGCTGTTGCGACGTCGTCGTAAGCGGATTTGCGACAAAACTCATTCGACTCGAACCACGCCCCAGCCGAGGGAGCAGCTGGACTGGACAGCGGTTCGGTGCGGTCGGTTGAACACAATTGATGTTGTTGTTGTTGTTGTCCTGCTGGGGTTGGAGGCGCCTTAGAGGCTGCAGCTTGTTAGCAATGACAGCAAGGAGCATCAAGGCTAAATCCTGTTAAAATTTAGTGCAAAATAAGATAGAATGTTGGCTCTTGTGCCTAGGCAGCGCGACAAAGAAGACGACAGAAAAGAGAGGAGAAAAAGTATAGGAAAGTAAATTTCTTTAGCTATATAGGTATATATATAATATACAATATATATATATATATATAGACTTATTTATATATCTTTTGCCTTTGTGCACTTTCACTGCGCGCCAAGTTTTGGGCATTTTCCATTCAAAAGTAAAATGAAATAAAATAAAATAAAAACTGACCCAACTTGGCACAAAAAAAATATGTATATATATATATATATATATAAATATCTGAAATATATATACATTTACATATATATATACCGCTGGGCCATAAATTGCCGCCAAAAGCTGCAAAAACAATAAAAATAAATGAACTTGAGTTCGGTTCTCGGCCGTTGGTCTCTCTCTCTCTCCCTCTGTCTCGTTCGCTCTCTCTTTCTCTGGCAATTTCATTATTATTACTTCACTCTGTAACGCCAACTTTTCTTCACGGCTATTGTTTATGTGACTTTTGGCCATTCTGGCTATTAGTATTTATTGTTGGAACCCGCCGGCAGCCAAACGCATGTTAAATGATAAAAAAATAAATCTAACAACATTTATCTCTATAAATGCTCGCCTGCCAATGAAACAAAAAATTTAAAATAATATTACTCGATTCACATCATCTATCTGTCCATAGAAAACCAGAAAAAAAAAATTTGCTTTGAGAAATTTTTTTAAATTTGTTCGCCACTTATTTTGTTCAGTAGTTTGAATAGCAATTATTTTTTAACATTATTTTAGGTGTTTTTTTTTTACAAAAATGATTTGATAAAATATTTCTGGTTTGCCAAGTTTTTAACATACAAAAGTTATGTTCTTTCTCTCTCGCACTCAATCTCCATTCTCTCCTTTCTGTATGCTTTCTCCTTCTTTCTCTCTCTCTCTTACTCTCTATCTTTCTTTTTATCTACTTGTATTTATTTCTCTCAATCAGTTCCTCTAATTCCTTCTCTCTTTCAGTTACTCTCTCTCCCTCTTTTTTTATCTCACTCTCTCTCTCTTTGATTTGCTGTATATTTCTCTCTCTCTCTCTCTCTATCTCTCTCTATTTCCTTCTCTATCTCTATCTGTCTCTCCTCTGTTTATTTTTCTCTATTTAATCGTTCTCGAAAGGCCTTTCTCTCTCTGCCTGTCTGTCGTCTGGCCATCCTGCTCCCAGCCTTTGTCTCTCTGTCCCTGACTATCTCTCACTATCTGTCACCCTTATTTAAAATTTTCATATATTCCACTTGAATTTCAACCAAGTTTACTTTAATTAACAAACATATTTATGAGTCCAATACTTAAATATGAAATACTTTTGTGAGCCAAGATTCTTCTTCAAATATTAATCGCCCTCGCTTCATTCCCTTTAGTCATCTGACAAGGTTTCCGTTGGACTAACGACTCTTTGTAAGCCACACGTAATACCTTATCATTTTTGCCAGTTTGTTTTATTTCGCAACATTCTATAACGCTTCTAATACTCAGTTGGTTGAGTGTGCAATACCGAAAAGGAAAAAAGTAAAGCCAAGTTTTGTAACACTGCTTAACCCTTTTTACATAAAATGTCCTTTTGGTTACTTTGTTTACTCAAGCTTTTGCAATCGACTAATGCCTCACACTCCAGCAATCAATGTTATATACATTTGAGTGTGTGCCTGTGTGTGTGTGAGTGTTGTAACAAAACGGAATCAAAATAAAATACTCATAAATACCCGTGTATATAGCAACGCTTACAAAAAGTCAACTTTATAGAAAGTCGGAGCAGCAGCCGCCTTTGAGCCAATGAGCGCGAGAGAGGGAAGGGCGTTAGTTATTGGGTACATGCATTGTAGACCGCTGGGCGACTTAACGGAGACGGCGACGGAAACGAAACGGACGCCGCTGCCATTGCTGCCAGCAGATCCTAAGTCGCAGCACGTGCGAGCTGCCTGCACATTGTTCTTGCTGGCTGCGTGAAGCGTTTGAGTGGAAAAAGGCAATAACAAATAGTGACAGTTACTCCTTGTTGCTTTCACTTCACTTTCTTTTTGGGTTTTTTACAGCTTTCAGTTTTCAGTTGGTCAACTCCTTTCTGGTACTTATTTCAAGAATTTCATAAGTATATGAATATGAATGGCATTCTGGGCACTTCATAAGCTGATAGAAGCTTGACAAGCGCTGGGCAACAATTTGCTGTCCCAGCCAGCTGAGCTAGCCGCAAATGTATATGAATATTGTGAAGCGCCAAGGGGATTTACCCCAAAATTCGACTCAAAACTCGAACTTGGCGAAAACCTCAAAGTCATTTATTTTCGGTGCGCCTGTAAAACAATTTTGCATTGCTCTGAAAAGGCGGCACAGTACAAAAGGGAAATCATTCATGGTTTTCAGAGCATGAATCACATGCAAATCGGCACGGACCATGGACAAACGGACGAACGGACGAACGGACGACCGGGCAGCGGTCAACGTAAATAGATTCATAAATCAGCATGAAAACATTATTTTGATTTCCGTTCCACAAAAGAAACGCAACGAGTGCTGTGGCAGATGAAGAAGAAGCAGCAGTATACGAATCGGAGATGTCGACGGAAGCAACTAATTGGAGCATAAACTAAATTCAGTAAAGAGCAATGAGTTTTTGTTCATACTCTATAGAGGCGGCGGCAGTCAGATGAACTTTAAAAGAACTTTGATGCATTCAAAAGAATGAATTAATTAGATTAAAAAAAAAATATATATATATATATAAATATATATATATAAATATGTCTGCTATAAAACTATTATTTTATTTCTTTATAAATAAATAACTTTTTTGCTAAGAATTACTTAATATATTATATATATAATTATACATATAATTTTATTTAAAAAATAAAAATTTTATATTTAATATTTTATATACAAAATATATTATATATAAATATAAATATAAATATATAAATAGATTATTATACATTAAATTTATTTATGTATTTATATTTATATTTATATTATTTTACAATAAAAAAATTAAAAACATAAATTAACTATTTAATATTTTATACAAAAAAAAAAAATAAAAGAAATATACAAATTGAAGATTATATATTTTAAGTTAAAGAAAATAAAATTAAAAACATAAATGAACTATTTAATATTTTATACAAAA